AGTCTGGCAGATTTTCAGCTACAGAAATCAATGTTGGAAAAGAACATAGCTGGAGGCTAAGCACTGTTTGAGCTTCCCAATCACAAAGTTCACAATGTGGAGATGGTGTTTAACTCTCCAGCGAGGGGAGCATGTCCATTAGAGGGAGCTAGAGAATATCAAAGGGAATGTGAAAAAAGGCTAAAGGTTGACTTCTTTTATAAATGTGGAACATAAATACAGCTGTTCATAAACAGAAAGTCTTCACACAGTTTTTTTTGCTGCAGAATATATACATTCACTCTTTCAGTGTATTTCTAGGTTGTACTTTGAATACTAGGACCACAAACCAGTCACAGTGCAAAGACCTGTGTTGAGTGTATTGCATCAAGACAAATGTCAAGCGAGGGGTCATGCTCACATTGAAGCCACTGAATGTGTAGAATGGCCCCCCCTCAAACGAGACATCTTCTTCCTTTGTCATCAGCTCACTGCCAATGGTGAAATGATGACCCTGCAGAACCACACAAACAAACACAAAAATGCTGATGTGTATTCATGCTGATCATACTTTTACAGTACTGTTCTTTGATGCTCTTCTTTGTATAGAGCATGGAAACAATTGCAGTGTCTGTTTCTACTCAAGTGTGTAAAATCAAATCAGCAACACTGAACACATACACACAACAACCAAAAGGAAACAGCCCAGAAAGCTGTGTGATTATAAAACCCTCACACTTAAAATTTTTGATTTTCACAGCTGTGAAAGATCAGCTGTCAAAACTTTGATTGATGAAACATGAATGGATCTCCGGGAACCTGCACCTATAGAGTCCATCAGAACTCACACATTCAAAGAAAATGATCAAGATGTATGTTGTGTGACAACTAAGTGAACTGTTACAGCTTAGATTGCTGTCTGATTGTAAAAGAATTTGGATTTGTAATGTTATTCATGTGGAAAGATACTCTGCATAATCATGACAAAAAACAAAAATACTGACGGTCCCCAGTGCCACCCCTTAACTTTGTAGATTTGCCTATGGTAAGTTTAAACATCCGAGGAGACGTCCAAGTAATTGTATTCACAAGATTTCTTGAGTAATTCTGTTCACATAGACAGGTGTCCTCGCACCTGTTCGCTACGGTTGAATGGTAAAAAGTACGTTTTAAGCCCTCTTCCAGCAGAACACTCCAGTCTTAACCCTCTCAAGGCAGGCGTTACCGATTTGCAACAGTTAAAAACTAACAACCTGATTACCCCACATACATATTTTATGGGGTTTTTTTTACTAAGAAGTACCACTGCAGGACTTGGTTGTGCATTAGCAACAAAAAGTTTAATTTGAGCCTGAGAGGGTTAAAGGGGAACTATTATCATTACTTCCAATTCTAAAATCAAACTTTACCAGAGTAGCTTTGCATGATGCACAGACAAAATAATACTTATTTATCTTATATTGGACTTTGGTGTGGCCCCCAAAGTTCATTCACTGTCTAAAGGAGCCATTTTTGCTTCCTTTCAATCTCTTTAAGTTAACTTTTTTTTTTTCTATTTGCAACATTTAAACAGTTGGTAAGAGTGCGGTATCATCACTTACAGCCAGAACTGTATACTGATTAGGGCTGGGCGATATGGCCTAAAATTTATATTGCGATATAATTTGAAGCATGTGCGGTAACGATATATATCACGATATATTCTTTTCTTCTGTATAATGTATTTTCCAGGCACACTTAAAATCCTTTAATTTTCTCAAAAATCGAGAGTGTGCCTTATGTATGAATTCTGGTTGTGCTTACTGACCTCGAATCAATTTTGGC